AGAACAGTTAATCTTAGATGGTAAACTGACTACTATAATTTGTCATTTTTTCAAAAGACATAAATTATGTAGTTCTCAAATGCCTAATTTTCAGCTTATACTTATGCTGACCCCTGAATTGGAGCACTGTATTCACTAGTCTTTTGAAATGTATGTTGTGGGTTATTATAAGAGAGGCTGGAGGGATAGGCAGGACAAAGGCTTGGTAGGTTGGGGTTAAGAATGTGGACCTGGCCCTGGCTGGTGTTCTCAGTGGTTAGAGCATCGGTCTGTGCACTGTAAGTTCTCGAGTTTGATACCCAGTCAAGGACACATACCTGAGGTGCAGGTTGGATCCCCTGCCCTGGCCAGGCACCTACAGGAGGCAACCAATCAATGTGTCTCTCTCACATTGTTGTCTCGTTCTCTTTCTCTCTTTCCTCCCTCATCCCTCCCTTTCACTCTCTCTAAAAATCAATGGACAAAATATCCTCAAATGAGGATTAACAACAAAAAATGAATGTGGATCTGAGTGTGGTGGGAAGCCACTGGAGGGATTTAATGAGGAAGATGTCATAGAAAGATTTATATTTTAAACATATGACTCTTGGCTGCTATATTGACAATGGGTTGTAAGGAGGCAAGAATAGAAAAGGGTAACCAGCCCGGTATCTATTTTAGATATTCAAGTAAGAGATGATAGTGTTTTGGAGTAGGATGGTAATGGTGGGGTTGGAGAGAAGTGCACAAACAATGGAGACTTATCTAATAATCCATTAGCAAAAAAAGGTTGGTTAATGGATTATATACGGGTCATGAGGGAAAGGAAAAGTCAAGGTTGATTTCTAAGTTTCTGGCCTAAACAACTGGGAAGACTTGGTGTCAATTGTTGAGATGAAGACTGGAGAAGGAGCAGGGTAATTTTTGTTGTCATGTGTGGGGTAGGACAGGGAGCAACAGTAAAGGGAAGGAAATGGAAACAAGGGCTCATGGTAATTCTGTGATGCCTATAAGGAATCTAAATGAACAGCTCAAATGGGTAGTTGAATATCTGACAAGTTTGAGAATCCTTGGCATACAGATGGCATTCAGAGTCATGGAATAGAGGAACTCACCTAGGGAGAGAATATAGAGAAAATATAAGGCCCAAGAATATCCATATTTCCACATAAATAGGGCAAGCTGGGGCGGAGGCCCAGGAGAGAACTATGGGGGAACAACAGTGAGGAAGGGAAAACTGGAAGAATGTGGTGGTCCAGAAACGAAGAGAAGAATCTTCCATGTGGAAGGTAGCGGCGGGTTATGTTGAATGCTGCTGTGAGATGGATAAGATAAGAACAAATTGTATCCACTGTTTTGAGCAATATGGAAGTTCTTGGTCACACTGACAGTAGCAGATATGACATGTCATGCAGATGGGCCCAGAGTGGATGGAGGGGAGATTGTAAAGGGGAAATGAGGATGGCTATTTAAACAATTATTTTAAGAGTTAATAGACCTTAGAAATAGATGGGTAGCTAATAAAAAATTGGAAGAGAATATTGTTTTTTCCTATGTTCTTAAGATGGGATGTATTGCTGTGTTTATGCTCATGGGATTGATCGGGTAGGGAGAGAGAACATGGTAATACAGTAGAAAGGGGATATAATTGCAGGGATAAATTGCTGGATGCAAAAAAAAATATGTGGGATGAGAGCAAAAGTGAAGGGTTTGAGTTGGAAAAGAGGAGGCTGAATTGGTGGTAGGGGGATGAGGGAGTATCTGTAATTACTTGTAACTAATTAATGAAGCAAGAGCACCAGCTGAAATGGAGATGGGAAAAGGGAATGTTGTAAATTTCAAGAAAAGGTAGCAACTATTGGAGTCATTTTGGAGAATGGGAAGTGAACAGGAAATGCCCTAAACGTACATTAAACAAGTCAGATTTTATTTTTGCTTGGGAAGAGACTGATTAAATCTTAAGTTGTTTTTTTAATAGCCTGTAAAGGTAAAAACAATTATTACATATTAACATTTGTTCACAGTAGGAAATTAGTTTAATGATTACTGGTAATCTTACTATTCAGAGATAATCATTATAATATATTTTTTAATATCTTATACATGCAAATACATCTACAGGAAGAAAAATAAAGGTCTTATTTTAATAACTAATACAATTTTATAAGTTTTTACTTTGCCAAGCATTTTAGGTGTTGCTCTGAGAAAGATAGAAGCTATTGGAGTGATAACTGTGTCATATTGCAAATGTTTACTCTAATTGTATTTTAATATGTTTGTGCTGCTTTTCCAATTTTTATGTAGATATATCTATAATTGGAAATGTACAGTCATGTTAAAAAGGCGCTCTTCCAAGGATATGTACCAATTATTTTTTCTACTATTTAAAATGTAAAAATGAAAGTATAAATTATTAATCTACCAGCTTTTAATTTGATTAAATGTAATGAAGGAACCTAATTTTATTTTTAGAATAGTTTTAATTATTCTTAAATTTCATATCCTATAATAAATTTAAAACACAACCTTGCACCCTAGTCAAATAGCTCAGTTGGTTAGAGCAGCATCCCAATATGCTAAGGTTGTGGGTTTGATCCCTGGTCAGGGCACTTAAAAGAAGCAACCAATGAATGCATAAATAAGAAAGCCCACTGCATGGGAGAACATATTTGCCACTTTTATCACCAATAAGGGTTTAATATTCAACATTTACAGGGAACTCATATAACTTAACAAAAGGAAGATAAACAACCCAATCAAAAAATGGGCAACGGACCTACATAGGTACTTTTCAAAAGAGGATATTCAGAAAGCCAAGAGCCATATGAAAACATGCTCAAAGTCACTAGTCATCCCAGAGATACAAATCAAAATGACAATGCAGTACCATCTCACACCTGTCAGAATGGCTATCATCAACAAATCAATAAACGACAAGTGCTGGCGAGGATGCAGAGAAAAAGGAACCCTCATGCACTGCTGGTGGGAATGCAGACTGGTACAGCCACTGTGGAGAACAGTATGGAGTTTCCTCAAAAAACTAAAAATGGAATTCCCATTTGACCCAGTGATCCCACCTCTAGGAATATATCCCAAGAAACCAGAAACACCAATCAAAAAGTCTATATGCACCCTATGTTCATAGCAGCACAATTCACCATAGCTAAGATCTGGAAACAGCCCAAGTGCCCATCAGCAGATGAGTGGATTAAAAACCTTGGCACATCTACACAATGTAATACTACGTGGCAGTAAAAAAGGAGTTCTTACCATTTGCAACAGCATGGATGGAACTGGAGAGCATTATGCTAAGTGAAATAAGCCAGTCAGAGAAAGATAAATATCACATGATCTCACTCATTTATGGAATATAATGAACAACATAAACTGGTGAACAAAAACAGATCTAGAGACAGAGAAACATCAATCAGACCATCAAACCTCAGAGGGAAGGTAGGGGAGGGTGGGGGTAAGGGGGAGAGATCAACCAAAGGACTTGTATGCATGCATATAAGCCTAACCAATGGACACAGATAACATGGGGGTGAGGGCATGAGTGGGGGGTAAGGGGGAGATAAGGACACATGTAATACATTAATCGATAAAGAAATTTAAAAAATAAAAGTTGTACGAGTTAAAAAATAAATAAATAAGTGGAACAACAAATTGATGTTTCTCTCTCTCTCTCTCTCTCTCTCTCTCTCTCTCTCTCTCTCTCCCTCTCTCCCCTCCCCCCTCTTCTCCCCCCTTCTCTAAAATCAATAAAAGCACAACCTTGTAATGGTAGAGCTCCCAAATGATTGACTTACAATTTTTTTTCAGAGGTTTTTAAAATAAATTACTACATATTGTTCTTTAAACAGGATATTTGTTAAAGAGTAAAAATTATCTATCATCCCATCGCCAGAGAAAATAAGTTGTACTTCACTTATTTGAAGTGACATTGTGTGTATACATTTTGCCATCCATATTTTCTCACTTTTTAAAGCTTTTGAAACACTCTGAAGCCATGACTTTAATGGCTGCCTTATGATCCACACTATTATTGAACATTTAAGGATAGGTTTCCAGGTTTTGTTTTAATTGCTTTTTTATGTGTCATTATAAGCAACATCATAGTTAACATCATTGGCATTTAATATTTAAATTGAATTTTGTTTTAGCATATTTGCTGTAAAAACAGTACATGTCAATTGTATAAAGCTTTAAAAATAACAGACAAAGCCTGGCAGTCATTACTCAGTGGTGGAGCATGGATCTATGGACCAGGAGGTCGCTATTCGAATCCCAGTCAGGCACATGCACCAATGAGGGGGGCATGCAGAAGGCAGCCGATCAATTATTCTCTCTCATTATTGATATTTCTATCTCTCTTTCCCTCTCCCTTGCTCTCTGAAATCAATAAAAATATATTTTAAAAATATAACAGACCAAAAAATTATTATCCAGAGAACTACCCTTGGATGTATTCCAAATCTTTTTTCATTCAACAGCCATTTTTCAGTACCTGTTGCTCTGAGAAAGATGGAAGCTATTGGAGTGATAACTGTGTCATATTGCAAATGTTTTCTCTAATTGTATTTTAATATGTTTGTGCTGCTTTTCCAATTTTTAGGTAGATATATGTAATAGGAATACGCAGTCATGTTAAAAAGATGCTGCTTTTGATGTGACACCTGCTCTCCACAGTTAACAGTCTAGTGAATATTTAGTCATATGTCATGTCAGTCTCCAAAGTGCAGAAATGCGTGTGCTTTTAGAAAGGAACTGTGCCACTTAAAAGCTGCATTGTAATCTAATTTTCTCCAATAAGATAAGAACTCCCTTCCATGCTACTGAACCGTCTTTTGGGATCAGCTTTAATGGTTGCAGAAGAATTATCTGTGTGGATGAACCCTATTTTATTTTACTAATCTATAAATAGTCAGACACCTTCTTTTCTAATTCCTGTTTGCTCTTAAAATCCATAGAATACATGTTTTGCTTCTTTTTAATAGGATAATTAACATGACCTCCACAAGATGCTGTCTCTCTTCCTCATTCTTATAATATCTCTAAGCGGATCTCAAAGTCAGTTCCTTTGTAATATACCCAAGTGTTAGTTATTTGTATATTCAAGAGGAACATGAGTACACAGCTCAAGGTGGCTGTTTCCTCTCTAGCCATAGCATTGTGAACTTTTCTAAAAGATCAGTTAATGAAAAGTCTGCATGAAGATTAAAAATCATATTTTTCTCCTGCCTACTATGATTAAAGCTCTTCTAATCTGTTATCTGCTAACAGAAATAAAATCACTAGAAAGGCAAGTTTGATTGATTGGTTGATTGATTTTTTATTTTATTTTTTTAGTGTAAGCTTGGTACTTACTCAACACTTGACAGAAGGCATTATCAGCTTTACTAGGTACTGTGACAGGCATTTTTAATTAACTGATAAAATATCAGAGGTGCTTAGTAGAACAATTAGTGAGGTCAACAAAACCACTCCTTTTCTATCTCATCTTTCCATGCCTTTCTCTCAGCATAATACCACATCCCTCTAACACTTTGTACAGAAATAAACAATCTCGCTGAGGAAGAGAAGTAGGACATGGCAGAGTGGAAATAGTGCCAGAGGAAAAAGATGTGACAGGGCCACATGAGCACCCAATTCCCCCATCTGTGGTGGCCTTGCCCAGAGTCCAAAGGAGTTTACTACATTGTCCATAAGCTAAGCTAAGCTTTTCAGTCCTAATATCATGGAATTCATATATAGGGCACTCAACCTACTGATCAAAGAACCTGGATTCTGGCTTCAATGATTATGAAGTAGCTAAGTATATATTCTTTGCAAAAAAACCTTGATTTTGATAAGTCCATTTGGTTTTTAAAATCAACTTCTGAAATGGAAAATTGGACTTCCACATTTATATTCAGAATGTTTATTTACTAGTTTTTATTAACTCATGGAATAGCCTGAGAGTTGTCCCAAAACCAAAATAAATGAGTCACTTCATTGCCCATTTTGGACTCCTCCTTCCTGTGTGCTCCCTCACTTGAAACTAATGTCTGCATATTCCTAACAGATTTCTGAACCCAACAGCATCTTCTATGTGCTCAAATATTTCCTAGCTCAACCAAGTTAAGCATGTTTAGGGCCTGCTAGCTCCAGCTAGCTGGATAAACTAATTTGTTATTGTTATAGTAGGTGTTAAAAGTAAATGTGTTCAGGGAATAAAAATCAATAGGAGTCTTTTATTACATAATATACATAATTTCCAGTAACTATAGCAGGCCAGGATTAGAGGAGAGATGAGACTATTGATCAAGGGGGGAGCAAACTAATATTTCTATGCTTTAGGCTGTTGACAATTCTCATAGCTACAATGAATCAAACAGATAGTCTATTAAAATTGCAGTAACTCAAACACAGAGCTTCATGGCTTGTTTCTAGTAATTAGACTAGCAAGAGTTCTTGATGCTGTGTCTGTTAATGATCAGGCTGTTGACCTAATATAGTTCTTCTAGGTAGTCCTAACATAACCCTTAATAAGCACCCATCACTAATTCTCTTCATAACGGCTCTTCATTTTATACACAGTCTTTCCAGCTTTCTTCATTCATTTTAGTACTATGAGTGAGCAAATAGTCATTGGAAGACTTGAGGAAGATGTAATTCTCCCTTGATCATTTGAGAGTGGGTGAAAAAGTCATAATTCACTGGAGGAATCAAGGTGATGTTTATACGTACTACAAAGACAGTGACCATTTGGGAAAGCAAGATCCCAGATACACAACCAGGTCACCCTCTTCCTCAGTGAAATACACAGTGAAAATGCTTCCCTAACTTTCAGAAGATTAAGCCATTTGTATGAAGGAATTTAATTGTGCTGTGTGGAAACAACAGCTAGAAAAATCACAAAGTGGTCCTAGAGGTGGGAGGTAAGTATGCATGTAAGGTTTTACAAAACATAACAATGATATAATTCCATGTTTTTCCGAAGTGTCTTTTTCTTAATTTGATATACTGCTGGCTTCCTAAGTCAATACATACAAATAGACCTCATTTTTAATGAACAGTATCTCATAGTATAGACATGCCATAATTGACACACCCGTTCTCCCATTAGTAGATATGCACGCATTTCCAGTGTTTTACATTGTAAGAAAAAATTAATGAGATTGACATCCTTACACTAAATGCAGAAAAATGATCTGAAGAAAAAAAGTGTCAGATGTAAGATTTTTAATGCATTACTTCCATCAGCATTATAAGAGCATCCACTTTCCCCTTAGTCTTATCAGTACCTAGTACCATCAATCATAAAATTAATGCCAATATGATATCTTAAAAATATTGAATTATTGACTTAAATTGCACTTTTTTTCATTTCTGAATGAAAACAGAATGGCAGCAATGGACACTGGCAAACAATGAAAATGCTCATATGAAATTATACAGTTAATTTTAATATTATATTCAGTTAACCCTTGGAGAACACAGGGATTAGATGTGCCAACCACCCATGCAGTTGTAAATCTGTGTAAACCTTAAGCCAGCCCTTCACATACATGTGTTCTCAATGGCCAGTCGACCCTTGAAGAATGTAGGTGTGAATCCTGCAGGGCTATTGAAAAATATCTGCGGGTGAGTGGACCCATGCAGTTTATACGCACTGTGTTCAAGCATCAATTGTACTTACCTCTTGCCCATATTAATTGTATTTATCTATTCATTTATTTATTGGAGAAGGGGCATTTTCTAATGCGTTGTTTTACCCAGCACTGTTCCTTCTCCCTCTGTCCTATTTAACTGCGTCAGACCTTGACTCAGAAATCTAAGAATAATGTGTAAGTAATGTCAAAATGACTGAGTAGTGCAGTACCTGAGGAGTGCAGAGTGCTGCATGAGCGCTAGTTTATAGACTTCAACACCCACATTTTGGTTGCTCAGTGAGGCTATTAGATTTCATTCTAGTGTTCTTTCTAGAGAATTGAGATCACTAGTTGCTATGTACCCATGAATGCCCTTTTTTTTCACTTGTAGATAACCACACACGATCTTACAGTTCTACAGTTTTTGTTTTGTTTTTCCTTTCAGTGACTGCCAAGTTTTGCTCATAAGGCTTATCTTTCCATTGCATGGATATTAAAATAATAAATGTTCTGCAAAGATGGCCTAACAAGAAGCTAATGATGACAGTTCCCAAAAGCCCTTCTTTCTCCCCCTTCACTTTTGTCACACTGGCGATAAAGTGTGAAAAGAGGAACACAAACAGCTCCGTAATATGTGGCGTGTTAAGTGTTTATCTTTGTCCAGTTCGTACATGGCAAGTGAACAATACACCTATCCCTGAAGGCAATATGGAAGGAATTGGGTCTTTTGATCCTTTTTATAATAAGGGTAAATATCATAGGATCAAATTTATTGTATGAATGTACTATTGAAAATCCATTGCTGAAGCAAACATGGACAGGGAGATGGACAATGAAAGTGGGCTTCATGGGGCTTTCTGTGTATATGTGCTATGTCCAAGGGTTGGGGGGATGGGGAATGATTTACAGGACAGAACAGAACACAAAGGAAAGAAAATGCATCTGTGGCTGTTACAAGACCAGGACTGGAGTCCCCAGTATAATATTTACTGGCTATTTTACCTTAAGCAATCAATCGTTTTTACTTCTAAACATTAGTTCCTCATTGATTAAATCGAAGTAATTCTCACCTTGCTAGGTGTTAATGAAAACATTTGTGAAATGGAAATTAGCATATTTATTCATAAATACCAATGTATTTCTCTACGGTTTATTCTCTAAAGAGGATTTTCTACCTGCATTGTACTTTAAAAGGTCAGAGGAGAAGGAAATAATGCTTGCTTGTCTATTACCAGGTCCCAACCTCTGATTCTTGCCAATCTTTCAACTAAACAAAAGTTAACTAATTAGTATTATGGTTTCTCTTTAGTTTCTCTCTTTTTAAAAATTTTTTATTGATTAAGGTATTACAAATGTGTCTTTACCCCCCATTGTCCCCTCATCCCCCCCCTTCTTGCCCTCACCCTCACCCCCTGTTGTCTGCATCCATCGCTTATGCTTATGTGCATACATACAAATCCTTTGGTTGATCTCTCCTCCTTAGCCCCACCCTCCCCTACCTTCCCTCTGAGGTTTGAGCATCTGATCAATGCTTCTCTGTCTCTAGATCTGTTTTTGTTCATCAGTTTATGTTGTTCATTATAGTCCACAAATGAATGAGATCGTGTGATATTTATCTTTCTCTGACTGGCTTATTTCACTTAGTATAATGCTCTCCAGCTCCATCCATGCTGTTGCAAATGGTAGGAGTTCCTTCCTTTTACTTCGGCATAGTATTCCATTGCATAGATGTGTCAAGGTTTTTTAATCCATTCATCTGCTGATGGGCACTTAGGCTGATTCCAAATCTTAGCTATTGTAAAGTTTCTCTCTTTTTAAAATTATCTTTATTGTTGAAAGTATTACAGATGTCTCTCCCCTTTCCACCCACCTCCATGCCACTCTCGCCTTCTCCCCAGGCCTTCACTGAACTATTGTCTGTGTCCATAGTTTATACATATATGCATATAAGTTATTTGGTTAATTTCTTCCTGCTCCCCCCTTCCCTCTGAAATACATCAGTCTGTTGCATGCTTCTATGTCTCTGGGTCTATTTTGTTCATCAGTTTATTTTGTTCATTGGATTCCACATATAAGTGAGATCATGTGATACTTGTTTTTCTCTGACTGACTTATTTCACTTAGCATAATACTTTCCAGGTCCCCCCATGCTGTTTCAAAGGGTAAGAGATCTTCTTTTTTACAGCTGCATAGTATTCCATTGTGTAAATGTCCTCAGCCTTTTTATCCATTCATCTACTGATGGGCACTTGGGCTGTTTCCAGATTTTAGCTATTGTTAATAATGGTGCTATGAACATAGGGGTGCATATATTCTTTCTGATTGCTGTTTTAGGCTTCTTAGGATATATTCCTAGAAGTGGGATCACTGGGTCAAATCGCAGTTCCACTTTTTCTTTCTTTCTTTTTTTTTTTTTGAGGAAATTCCACAATGTTTTCCACAGTGGTTGTACCAGTCTGCATTCCCACCAACAGTGCACTAGGGTTCCTTTTATTCCACATCCTCACCAGTATTTGTTGTTTGTTGATTTGTCGATGGTAGTCATTCTGGCAGGTGTGAGGTGGTACCTCCTTGTCATTTTTAATTTGCCTCTTTCTGATGATTAGTGACTTTGAGCATTTTTTCATATGCCTCTTGGCCTTCTGTATGTCCAGAAGGCCTGTGTCTCTTCAGGCCTTCTGCCCATTTTTAAATTGGATTGTTTGTCTTCATTTTGTTGAGTTGTATGAGTACTTTACATATTTTGGAAATTAACCTTTTATCAGATGTATCATTGGCAAATATGTTCTCCCATACAAAGTTCTCCCTTTTCATTTTGATGACAGTTTCCTTTAATATGCAGAAGCTTTTTATTTTGATATTAGAGTCCCAGCGCACGAAATCGTGTGTGGGTAGGGTCCCTAGGCCTAGCCTGTGATCAGGCCCATCTTCCACCCATTTGCCAGCCCCGGGTCCTGACCCGCCTCCACCGCCAGACACCAGGTTCCCCTCGCTGGCCCCGAGTCCCAGACTGCCACCACTGCCAGCCACCCAGTTCCCCTTGCCAGCCCCCCACCTCATAGTGACTGGTTGAGCCGTCATTCCGGTCATTACACTTATGGTTGCTGGCCTTTTATTATATAGGATAGTCCCATTTGTTTATTTTTTCTTTTGTTTCTCTTGCCCTAGGCCATATATCTGAGAAAATTCTGCTATGTGGGATGTCTGATATTTTGCTGCCTATGTTTTCTCCTAGGATCTTTATTGTTTCATGACTTACATTTAAGTCTTTTATCCATCTTGAATTTATTCTTGTGTATGGTGTAAGTTAGTGGTCTAGTTTCATTTTTTTTTTTGCATGTAGCTGTCCAATTTTCCCAACACCATTTATTGAAGAGACTGTCTTTACTCCATTGTATGCTCTTGCCTCCAGTGTCAAATATTAATTGTGCATTAATTGATTTCTTTGGTCTCTTCATGTAGTATTAGCCCATTAATCTTTATCAATACCTTCATCATTGCATGAGCAGTTTTTAACACTCCTTCCTCTCATTTATTTGAACAAACCCAAACTCTGATCAATCTCTGTATTTATAACCTACTGTTTATGAAAAATTAATGAGAAGAAAAATTTATTTGATACTCTTTATCCAATTCTAAGGAAAAAAATTGTTTTATATTTCATTAGAAGCAACACAAGATTTTTCTGTAAATCTCCATTATATAGGGAAATCTCCATTGTACAAGATTTTTCTGTAAATCTATTTTTCTGTGTTTCACATTCTCAAGATGCCCACTGAGAAGATACTAAAATTATAAGTGCTTTATACCTTTACATGATTTGAGTGCTAAAGGCATGGTCACCCAATGTCCATTTTTCATCAGTCAGGCAGCAATGGATACATGGAAAACAATGCAAATGTTCATATTAAATTGTAAATATTTTCTATGGGAAATTGTATTTTCTCATGTTTATTCAGAATTGAGTGTCCTAAAGCACCAACAGGTCCTTAGGCTCCATGCTGTTTGTCTTGTTGATGATTTATTATGTGCTAAGTAAGGGTTGTTGCTCTCAGACTGTGAACTTAAGGACAAGGGCTCTTATTTCTGCATCTATAGCATCTAGTATAAACCATGTAAAAATAAAATTCAACCAGGAAGGGTGCATACAAAGGGAGCAATTAATTCTATTCACCATGGTTGGGTATGCATGGAGTAAAGAATATATGCCTAAGGAAGTTGAATAAGAACAGAATTTTAAACAAGTTGTAGGGAATTTCAGGAGAACATAGGCATTCCAGGTTGGAAAAAAAAAAGATGCATTATATGCAAAAGCACAGGGGAGTAAATATTACTGGCTTTATGAAAGTTTAAGTGTTGACAGCAAGGCTAAATTACCAAGAGATGAGCCTGGAGAGTGCGGGAAAACAAGATGAAAGAACTTCTATACCTTGTGAAGGAGTTTGACCAGGGTCCTGGAAGTAATGAGAAATCAAAGAAGGATTAGAAACATCAGAAAGATCCTGTACTTGAATTTTAGAAGATTTGGGGGGCATATTCTCTTGCAGGTGGATTAAATGGTAGGCGAATCTAGAGCCCAAAATAAACAATCCATGGCAGCCCACAGAAGTCAACCTACAGAACTACAGAAGGACAGAATGGGGTTCAATCATGGAGTGGGGAGAGGCAAGCCAGAACACCCAGCACAGTTCCTGCTTCAAAAGAGTTCAGACCACGGGGGATTAACACACATTTGGAAATGTACTTCTTATGTACAAGAAAAGAACTTTGTCTAGAAAGAGAGATTAAGAAATGATTGAGACCATAGAAGTAACAGACAACTAAGGAGTAGACAGAGTGACAAGCAGAGAATCCTGGGAAACACCAGCATTTGAGAAGCCAACAGAAGCAGAACAGTGAGTTTAAAATGTTGGGAACTGGAAGCAATGTTAATATTGGGTGCCCATGCTTGAGTGCTCACTGTCAGGTAGTAGGAGTTAAAACCCAGGTGGTGTCACCTCCCTAGCTGGCTTCAGGGCTTTAGAAATTAAGAGGGAACATATATGTTTTATGACTCTGCAGGCTGAGCATCTTCAATTCCTTTTATCACTGTGCCTAATATGTTCCTTAGGGTCCAGTATTGGGGGGTTGAGGCTGTAGACACAGTAGGAGTTTGGAATTGGGGCTCTGCTGGATGCTGGGGAAGCACAGTCTGTGAACCTGGGAGGGAGAAGCCACCAAAGGACATTTGAAACACTAAGTGGATGCCCGATTCAGCTCATTTTTTACCTCTGCTGATAGCTAAATGCCAAAACTAATTATTTAAAATATTTCTAATTCACTATTCATAGTGGAATGTGTACTCATGAAGCTGACTTTCTAAGTGGGTTGATTGATCCCCTTACCCTTAAACTATCAACTTGACATCATGGGAGACCATGGCACCTCTCTTTTTATTATTTGATAAAGATATTTGAGTCAATGGAATATGGTTTAGAAATATTTATATCATATCATCCTACTTGTGAAAATTAGTAGGAATAACATACTTGGAGGCTTGGTGATTCTATGTAATAAGACTTTGAGATTAAGAACCGAGACCTGTCTTTAGGTTAAGTGGTCTTCAAATAGACAAAAGCTTCTAGACACTAAGTGATAACAATTCCTTGGTAGAGCTGCCACTTTGAGAATACTGAAAACTGGGATGTGAAGCTATTTTTCTCCAAAACAGAAGTGTCCATTTTATGTAAAATACAGTTAAGCTTGCATCCTATTTTTAAAATTCTGCCTCATATTGGATTCATTTTGGAGTGTAGAAAAATTATCAGGAAGAAATGGTCTGCAGACCACACATGGCCCATCTTTCTAACCACAGGTCTAAGTTTCAGTTTACACAAAGCGAAGCCTTAGACCAATCCAGCTTTTCTGAATCTTTTCCAGGTAAACCTTGGTCAGTTGAGACTTGAGGAGGGTCTGCTCAAACTCCTCCCTACTCCCCAAACCTAACCCAGGCAGAGGTCTGTAGAAGGAACTACCCCAGCAGGCAAGAGAACAGGGCAAATAGTACCCGTACCTTTTACTTCACTCTTTCAAGGAAACTTGGTTTTCTATTCTGAATGGAAATTTTCTACTTGCTGCCTTTTCCAGAACATGTTGCAACATTTGAAAAGGAGGCCCAGATAGGGCTGCTTGTTATTCCTAGAGTTGAGATCTGCTAGATAAAGTTTACACTGGATGGAATGGAATTAAATAATTCTTGCTAAATTTTGCTGCTGAATCAATATGTGACCTTGGGCAAATCTTTCCACAGATAGGGGAACTAAGATCACAGATAAAGTAAGAAGAAGCTAACCTTGTAGGATTTCCTTCAGGAGAAAAAATATGCATATCAAAATACGCTGGAAAGTTAATATTTCTACTTAATTACTCCTTCTTTACATGGGTATTGAATTTCACATTGACACAAATACGTGGAGAGATTAATTTTTTTATTTTAAAATATTAAAAGTGTGTTCATTAAAAATGAGATCTATTGGGTAAAGCTGTTCATCTTTAAAAATAGCCTAAAACATTTATCCCCCTGAATTAGGCTTTGTGCTCTAATGCTTGCTTACTACATTTGGGTAGACTTTAGATCACAAGGTTAGCAGGTTCTGACTTTGGTAACATTAGGGCTCCAAGTTTCTGCTTTCCAGGATCCCCACTTCCTTTAATACTAATTACAATTCTGGTACTAACGAGGATGCTGGGAAAAGTTCAGGCTTCTCCAGTTATTCCCGAGGAGCCTCAAGTACTATATATTGTCCCTGTGGTCACCTGTAACCTCTCACCCAATACCATGGCTCCTACTTAGATCTTCCCATCACCTCCGCACTCCTTATCACTATTTCCCTAGGAATCTGTCTTCTCCAAGCCAAGGGTGAACTGCACCCTCTCTTTATCACTCAAGAAGAACACTGGGCTGAGGCTAGTTTGTAGTCATAATTATTCCTTTGAAAAAAGTGCATTAATTCTCTTATCTACACTAATAAAAGACAAAGATGCTAATTGACCATACCTTCGCTACGCCCCAAGCCACGTCCACCAGCCAATCAGAGCGACTATATGCAAATTAACCCAACCAAGATGGCGGCCGACAGCCATGGAGCTGGAGCAAACAGGAGGCTTGGTTGCCCGGGCGATGGAGGAAGCCAAGCTTCCTGCCTGCCCTAAGCCGGCTGTGGCCTCCGCTCATGGCAACAAATTTTCAATTATAGAAGATAAATAAATCCCAGATACCTGCTTCCAGCCAGCCTCCACTGGGAGCTTGGGTGGCTGGGGGCTGTGGCCAACCTGAAAACAGCCATCAGCCCCTCACCCAGGCTGGCCACACCCTCATGGGGTGAGGGTCCCTGCTGAGGGGCTTGGCCAGCCTGCAAACAGCCATCAGCCCCTCACTCAGACTGGCCAGGCACCCCAGCAGGGACCCTCACCCCCTGAAGGTGTGGTCAGCCTGAAAACGGCCCTCAGCCCCTCATCCAGGCTGGCCAGGCACCCCAGTGGGGACCCCCACACTGAAGGGGCAGTGGCCAGCCTGCAAACAGCCATCAGCCCCTCACCCTGGCTGGCCAGGCACTCCTATATAATAAAAGGGTAATATGCAAATTGTCCCTAACAGCAGAACAACTGGGAATGACTGGTCACTATGACACACACTGACCACCAGGGGGCAGATGCTCAATGCAGGAGCTGCCCCCTGGTGGTCAGTGCAGTCCCACAGGGAGAGCTCTGCTCAGCCACAAGCCAGGCTGATGGCTACCAGTACAGCAGTGGTGGTGGGAGCCTCTCCCGCCTCCTAAGCAGCGCTAAGGATGTCCGACTGCAGCTTAGGCCTGCTCCCCCTGGCAAGTGGACATACCCGGAGGGCTCTCGGGCTGCCAGAGGGATGTATGACTGCCAGCTTAGGCCCAATCCCCCAGGGAGCAGGCCTAAGCCAGCAGGTGGTCATCCCCCGAGGGGTCCCTGACTGCAAGAGGGCACAGGCCGGGCTGAGGTACCCCCCACCCTGAGTGCATAAATTTTTGTGCACTGGGCCTCTAGTCCTATATAATAAAAGAGAAACATTTAAATTGACCGTCCCTCCACTATGCTCACCAGCCCATCAGGAGTGTGTATGCAAATTAACCTGACAAAGATGGAGGGTTAATTTGCATACACAGGTGCCAGACGGAGAGCAGAGCAGGAGAGCCAGTGGAGAATGGAGCAGCTTGGGGAAATTGGCTCCCCAAACTGCCAGAGGAGAGCAGAGAGGGAGAGCTGGCAGCTTGGAGGACTTGGCAGAGTGGGAGGCTATGGGACAGAGACAGAGCAGGAAGGGAAAACGAAGATCGCGGGGAGCACCAGGAATTCTGGGAATAGTAGTTTTGGTGGCAGCCCCAGGACTGGAAGTGGAAGCCCAGAGTGCAGGGAGCACCAGGAATGCTGGGAATCGTAGTTCTGGTGGCAGATGGGTCTCCTAGACACTAGAGCAAAGTGAGCCTGGAGCAAGTTACTATTGCAGTGGGGGGGGTGGAGGGAAAGCAAAGGTGAGAGACATAAGTAAAATCAGAGTGTCTAGGAAAAATTAAAGGGATGCTATCCTAAAACTTCCAGGAAATCTCCACCAATGAAGCAAAGGAAAAAAAAATGCCTCTATTGTTCTGTGAGCAACAAACCAAATTGAGTTGGGTTCTCAGACAATTCGCTCATATGATTGCAAAGACAGACAGAAACTCCCGGATTGGAGAGGGCTCCCCTAAGGGCTCCCAGATTGGAGAAGGTACAGATTGGGCTGAGGGACCCCCACACCCCACAGTGCATGAATGTCATGCACCGGGCCTGTAGTCACAATATAAAACAACAGAAACTTAAATGCATAATAGACTCATTGCCTCTCAAGTTTTCAGACTTTTTCTTTCCCAACTCCCACTAAGCCCCAAATTCATTCAAATGACAGCTTTTGCAGGTTTCCCACAATAGAGACATTGAGACTGGTAGGTATTATTTATGCTCATAAAACAAAACAAAACAAAAACAAAAATCACAACTCTCTGGTCCAGACAGGGCTTGTCTTTTCACTATGAAAAGTGTTTTCACTAATATGAAATTTGCCTGCCACCCGCACGGCAGAAATAACTGGTTTCAAAAATAGTAAGCACACTCTACCCACCCACTCACACATTTTCTTTGTCTTTTGGTAATGCTTCTTCTAGCTTATAGACTTTTTTGTTTGTTTTATTTAGAACCAAGTCAAAGAACAGCCCTCTGGATAATCATTCTGTCTTCAGTGCTTTGGGAGATTTTGGTGGTACTTAACATCATGAGGTCAAGAATATGCATCTATTTCATCAAAGGTGATGCTTCATGGAAGATTTGGGTTCTGTCCCTAGGTATTCAGATTGAGGTATGACATTCACCTGCACTTTCTGGGCATGTAAACAGATCTGAATTTTCTGGATAGTCATTTGTAAAATTTATAAGAAATCTTTTTAAATGCTCATACATTTCCACCTACTTATTGTAATTCTGGGAATTTATTCTGAGTTTAATGGTCTGAGACACACCAAACTATATAGAAGCATATTTACTACAGCATACTACCATTAATTCCAGTCTTTCTATTTCAATAAATAACAGAGGATTGGGTAAAATAATTTAGCATCACATGTTAGTTAAGGGTTTTTTGTTTGTTTGTTTGTTTTTACTAAAAAAAGATTAAAAAGTAAATCTGGCAGTAAAATAATGCCCATGGTGGTACCGATTACCTTGCATTGAGAAATAGCTGAAAAGAAATAATCCAAAGCTTTAGACATGGTTGCTTTTGGAGAAAGGTTGCCCTTCTCCCTCACTCACCTGCCCAGGTACTTTATGGACTCCTCAAGTCCCTGAGCTCTTATTTTCTTTTTCTTTGAACTTTATTTACAGTAGCCACTTCTTGAAATAGCATTGTCCTTTATGTGCCATTTATTTTAATCCTTTTTAAATTTTTTAAAATGTTTTCTAAATTTTCTGCAACAAACCTAAGTTACTTAGAGCAATTTTAATGATATATTAAGATGCCATTGTCACAGGACTTCTTAAAAGACTTCACTTTTATCAGCAAAATTAGAGCTGGAAAAAACTTATTTCCATATTTTGCAGATCAGGAAACTGGAATGTAAGGTGTTAACTCCAATGCTAAGGAGGCCTGTGATACAGACTTATGTCCACCTAATATGACCCAGCTAAGTAGCGGCCAAGATAGAAGAGGGCCCCAAGAAACTCTCCCTTATTCCATAACTCCCTTGAGCAGGTTCTGAGTGTCTGGGAGGTTGAACTAGATCCCATGTCTCTTCCCCTGGTTGATATCTGCCTGTCATTTCTGTGGAAGTTAGAGGGTTTGGTCATAGCAGAAACCATTATTGAAGGTAAGATTTTAAGAGTGACAGTGAGCATGAGTTTCACCAACTTTGCCCTGTGATTGTACTAATATGCAGGCTAGTCCCCTTACTTGTTACTCCTATTCCTTAGCTGGCAGGAAATATTGGATGTGGGCATAGGTCAGGTCCTACCAGCAAACACCTGGCTCACTCAGAACTGTACAAATGGGAGCACAGAAGATAGTGCATTTCCCCAGAGGTGGGAGCAGCTGACTCACTAGCAAAACTAAACTTGAAGGGACAAGGAAAAGGAGAAGTTCCCCAAACGTGGAGAGTCACATAAAAGCTGCTGTCATGTTAGGAGAGTGACCTTCACTTGAAGAGCACAACCAGACCAAGATGACCCTAAAGGGAGGGAGCTGGAAGAATAAAGACCTGATTTTAGTCTTCCCTCCCTATGATCTCCACCCCAACTGGAAGCCAGAGGGAAGAGAGGCCCTGTAGATAGAACCCATCCAGGTGAGCTCCCCATGGCAGAAAGCAGGATGGGGTTCAAATGTTTTCCTTTTCAATTATTCTGTTTAAAGTACCGTTAGTCTAGGATAAACATAAAGTATACTAGATTTTAGAAAGGCCTAGAAGGCCTTTCTTGAGAAATGCCATTGTACTCTTTTTTTCCTTAACCATCACTCTCAGCTTTAACCATCACCTCTTTGGCTATTTTCCATTAAACAGTTGGTAGGAAACTGGCCAACAATCCTAAAGAGCCGGGAATTCCTGGCCTGGTTGAATTGGCTTTATCACCACTTTGGAGCACCTTAATGAGCCATAGAATTTACTGCTGTTTGTTTCGGATGAGGTATTTTTGCACGGAATGCATTTTAAATACTGTTTGTTGAAAGAGAGATATGAAAGGGGGAGTAACTGAAGTAACTCTAATAACCTAATTACAGACATACCTCATTTTATTGTGCTTCACAGATATTTTGCTTTTGCAAATTGAGGGTTTGTGGCAACCCTGTATCAAACAAGTCTATTGGTGCCATTTTCCCAACAGCATTTGCTCATTTCATGTCTGTGTCACATGTTGGTAATTCTTTCACTATTTCAAACATAGTGCAAACGTAGCTTTTATCAGCCCAGGGAAACCCAAAAGTTTGTGTGACTCAGTTTATTGTGATATTTGCTTCATTGAGGTGGTCTGGAAGAGAACCTGCAGTATCTCCGAGTTGTGCCTATATACTGATTTAGGAATAAGGGAGAATGAATGTTTGCAAAGATTTTAAAGTTTTTTCTCTCTTTTCCTGTAGAAAGAAGTTCTGTCTCTACTGATGAGAGAACTAGTAATGCCATTAATGAAGAAAACACAGTTAAGAGATTTCCTTTGTCAAACCATTTATAGTACAAGAATACTACTATAAAAAGGTAACTGATGTTTTAACTGATTCACATATTGACATTCAAGAGACTTTTATAGAGTAAAACAAGGCAGGAGGTATTGTTGGATAATATAACAGAAAAAAATACCATTGGGCTATTCCCAATGTATAATTAGACAGGCTCTACTTGCTTAAATAAGTGGTTGCTCTTCTCATCTCCTATTGTTATTTGCAGAGAATGGCACTAGGCATATGAGTGGGCCCATGTGCTTATTCTTCTGATGGAAATGGGATTGTATAGAAATGAAAAGAAATATAGAAAGATAAAGTGAAGAAAAGCACACTACAGTTTCTGCCCAGACTCAGATTGCTGAGTTTTCCAGCCACTTCTAGGCTCCCTGGGGACTGATAATTCACTTATGAGTCACAGTTTGATTGTTCACTCCATTTTTGTTGCAAGCCTTTTATTTTTTTAGTTCCATCAATAAGAGCCAAGAATCATAAACTTGTTATAAACTCAGGAACATCTAGCAGGGAGATGAAAATTGACTGATAAAACCCAGACTTCATAACTACTTAATTATAACTATATCATTGATCTCTGATTAGAGATACAAACAATAGCAAAACACTACCATCATTAAATACTTAAGATAAAAATGATTATTCTGACACAAATACAGCTCTTTAGAGTCCATTTATCTTTGGTCTAGGCTCTTTCAGAACAGCTAGCCAGTACAGGAAGTGAAGTGAAAACAGAAGTGTGACAACACGTCACAGGCATCCTCAGTATCCAAGGACTTCATCTCCCTTTCCTCTCTGGGATTCCAGCAGTGGCCTGCCACCACCAGACGATTTTACCATTGCAAAGACTTGTAAACTTTCTCTTTTCCAGTATCATGTTCACTCTCCAAGACCTAAGTATCATTCACTGACCACCTACCTGCATCAAGATTATAAATGCCTGGATGCCAATTCAACTTAGAAAACAATTGTCTCATTCATGTACATTCTTGCTGCAATCATCCCAGGGGGCTACAGTGAGGATCCCACCAAGAATGTGGAAGGAATGTATCACTAAGAACTGATTCAAAAATCTGATCAACTAATGATAGGTAAGAGAGTGGGTAGGAGCAGAAGTCAGCTTAAATGAAAAGGTGAAAAACAGAATCTGCGAACTAAGGCAATTGATTTTCTAAGGTATTAGACTCTAGTTTTATATGGTTATGTCTGTTTAAACAACTAGATTTAGTATGCTGAGTCTCAGAACCCAAAGATTAAGCATCTCAGTATCTCTAAGACTGCCCTATCAACCCAATAACTGCCACCTCTGGAATTGGGTCATAGCTTCCAACACCAGATTGCATAGCTGAGTGACCCCAGCTCTGAAGATAATTTGACTCACTTGTCTGGCGCAATCATATTGCTTGCTCATCAGTTTTTTTTAATAATTTAGGTTTCCATATAAATTTTTATGCAAGGAGAGAATGAATAGCCCAGCTGACTTGATGATCTATTCCCCTTAATTTAAATCAAGAAAGAAAAAGCCTAACCAAGATTTTTGTGACTTAATCAAGTGTTAACCCTATAGTTTACAGGAGAAAACCAATTCTCACTTGTGTGTTCATACTACTGGTCCAATTTTCTCTATCAGCTGGCCTTAACTTCACAATATCATACCTTGTGCATAGTTTTATTTAATCTTATTTGTTTCGACATGATGGCAGGTGTAAGGTATTAAGAATGCCATTGTAAAGGAAACCTTTATAAAGAAACACAGGACACTTTGTGAGAAGGAAATCCTCAGAATTGCTGTGGTCCTCCTCCACTGATGATGAGGACAAATTTGAAGACTTAAGCCAACACACTGAGGATGGCAGACCAGAGAGAACTTGAGTGCTTCACCACTGCTGAGCACCCGAATCAATCGTAGAGCCACCTGTAGGAGTCAGTGTGGGATCAGAGAGGCAGAATGATGAGAAAGACAAGAAATAAGGATTTATCATAAGGATTCAGCCTTACACATTGTGGGCACTCCCCCCTCCGCCTCTGGTGCTGGGCTTGAAGTCGCTCTAGGTCAGCTGTGCCAGTGCTCAGGAAGGAGAGTGGGACATAGAGAGAGGAGAGTAATGACGAAGGGAATCCATGCCTGTTGAGGGCCTCCAAAGTCCCTGCCCTGGGGGCCCAGCAAGAGAGGCTGGTGCCCGTTGCCATGGAGCCCCACACATGCCTGGCCAAGACTCTGAGGCTGAAGAGGGAAACTGACAGGAACTGGAAGAGCTGTGGGTCCAGAGTTGTTGCTGATCTCTGGTAGCTCACCATTTTGGGCCTGGGCTAGTATTGCCAGCTACTGTCCATATGCACATCCAAAAAACAGATGCTCCTTTACTGCTGCTTCTCAAATCTGGTGCAAATTCCTCCTGTGTCTAAGTCCAAGCCTGAACCACACAAAGGAATTCTGGGAAATGTACCTCCAACCTAGAGAAACTGACACAATCCAAAACTACCATACCACCTATCACTGAGTGTCCTGTGTGAGAAGTGGCTTCAGTGTTTAAAGTCTACACCAGCATGTAGCTTCCATGTGAGTCAATTAGAAAGGTTACCTACAAGCGCAAAGTGCCTAACTGTGACTATATGTAGATTACAGTGCTAGTGATAAATTTATCAACTCCCACCATTAGTGCCTAAAAATATAGTCTTATTGATTAGGGATGTGTCAAGCAAAGTTCACTAACTTCAGTCATAACCATTTGCTAACATGCTCTAGTCACCATGGACTATTACTGGTCTAAAGATTTATCCAATGAATATTACTCATTAAGAGGCAATATGGACAAAGAACAAATATTCACTCATTTGTTAACTTCAGAATTTAAAAAGGTCATTGCATCTATTTAATCTTTCATGTGAAATGTTTACTTGTATTTGAGGATCAAAAAATCCCCATTAACCTTGGAAGCAAGGAGATTCCCTTTAATAATTACATTTTTCTAACCACTTTGTTTAATGTTTGTTTCAAATACAACTCAACTTTTCAGCCATAAAATGAAACTCTCTTTGTACTTCCCCAGCTACTATCGTCCATAAGCAAGAACTGCTTATTTTTCATGAACCTGAAAAACAGTATCAGTGTGTTCTGTGAGATTCCTGTGACTTTCATCAGTGGAACACACACCCAGGACCAAGCCCAGTCCTTTCCAGAGGTGAGCAGGCCTCAGCCAACTCTTCATTAGCTTCAAAGGGAGGCAGAGAATTGGAGCAATTATCTGCATTATAGAAAGCAGACACCCGCCACAATTCATCCCAAGGGTGCGCTTGGTCACTCAATCTCCCACCCTGCCTTGCCAGTGAAGGAAGAGTCTTCTGCAGAAGACTCCATGAGGGAAAGTCTCTGTAGCCACATCACCAATGTGCTCCACAGCCCGACATGCGATTCTATCAGAAAACCTTTTCCTCCGCTTTAAGACAGTTGAGAGATTTCCAGGCTTTCCTTCTGTGAATGGGAAACAATTAGTCATCGCTGAGGACGCTTTTCCTATTCATCTCTGGCCTCTCAGAAGAAGCAATTTCTGCTTTGCTCATTTAATCTTTGTTGGAAATAACTGTGACAAAGTCTAATACTTTACATCTGCTTTGGAGCCCTTTCAACCTCCTGCAGCTGAGTGCAATTGCAGCACATGGGAGGCATTTCCCTAAGCAACCCATGATACGGGGCTGTTGGGCAGGCTCTGCACAGAAGACCCCAAATCCAATGCCATAACCTTCTCAAATTGAGGCCAGAGTTCACACCATTTCACTGGACCTCTCCACCACGGCCTTGTCCCTGAGACAGCTATGCAGGCACCAGTAAGAAACCTCTGGAGTCTGCCAGTGACTCACGCTTCTTATATTTCGATCTAAACATAGGCACACCAACTTTTAGTCTCTGCTTCAAAAGAGGTCCTTTTGACCTCACTTAAGGTACTATTTACTGTTGGCAACCCTATATATTTATTTGGCAGGGTTATGAGTAATTCTTTATAATAAATAAGAATGAAGATCAGACATATACCAAAATTTTTTTAAATGAAATGATGGTGCCTGTCTGTGCTAGGCATTGTGCTAAGTGCCTTATAGGTCTTCTATGAAGGATAGCCAATCTCCTGCTTCTCCTGAAGCCAGATCTCATTTTTAAAAAGTGTATGTTCCTTGGAAAATCTATGAGGAATCTGAGGCCCTGACTGCTGTAGTCTGAATGTTTGTGTGCCCCACAGATCCACATGTTGAATCCCAAATCCAAATCCATAGTGATGGTATTAAGTGGGGTTTTAAGGAGGTGATTAGGTCATAAGGTTGGAGTCCTTATGAGGTATCAGTGTCTTAATGGTATCAGTGCCACCCCAGAGAGCTTCTTCCCCGTTTTTCTCCATGTGAGCTTACAGTGAGAAGAGGTCATTTGAGAAATGGCCCTCACCAGGTTCCTAATCTACCAGCCCCATGGTCCTGGGCTTTCCAGACTCCAGAACTGTGAGAAATATGAGATGCCCAATCTCCGGTGTTCTGTTATGGTAACCTGAACAGACTACAACACTGACCCCATCAAGCCTACAGCTTGCTGTTCCTTGTCACTCTACCACTTTTGCCGGGGAAATTGGGGCCTCCACCATAGGATCAGAACAGCAGTTTATGGCTCACAGAGATGTAGAAAGTTTTCTTTTCTGTGATTTAGGCAGAAATCTAGAAAGTAGGACTCTTACATGTATTCTCCACTGCCTCAATTTTAAACCTGAGCCCCCAGGTCTCCATACACATACAGCACAAAGTCATATACTTATCTACCATAGAAACTGTCCACTTAGAATCTCAAGCAGATCCATCTGTGCCTTTTAATTCATCTTTTTTCCCTGGGCTCCTGACTATTTTTTAGAAATGAATTTAGGCCCTGGCTCTCAGAGCCTGCAAGTTAAGCTAGAATTAAGCATTTGAGAAGTATAAATACAGTGTGCATCCCACTCAGATGCTTAGCACTTCCTACTACCTGGACCAGTAGAATTTAGTAAATATGGGAAGGTTTTATTAGAATGTGTTTTTTCATATTACTGATTTTTAGAAGCGTTTAAAGAGAAAAACAAGAAATGTCTTAAGAGTTAGAACAGGGAAAAAAGGGACATCTGTAATACTTTCAACAATAAAGATAAATTTTTTTAAAAAGAGAACAGAGTTGAACATGTGACATACCTTTTTTCCAAATTCTTTTGCTTTAATCTTGAGTTTATTGACTTGAGATTCTGCTATCTCTGCCCTTTCCTTAGCTTCGTTCAACTCACATTGCCGCTTCTTATACTTGGAAAGATATTGATTGGCTTGTGCTTCCTATAAAAATAAAAAATGGGGGGAAAAAGAAATCTCTGTGCCTACATAGTCATATTTTTTCTGCTCTGACATGAGAAAGTTGAAAAATGTGTGAAGGGAATCTAAACTTCTGTGTATTGAATGGAATATCATATTTCTGTATGACATATAGGATTCAGACTTTCCAGCAGGCATGAGATCTATTTTTATAACTGTTTTTCCCTGTAAGTTTAGAACATGGTCGGCACTTTCCACCAACTGGATGTAGTCCTCCGGCATGCACAAATTTGGTATGTGATAGAATGACCAGGGTTGTTTGTTTTCTTATCAGTTCAATATTATATTCTACCACTGGGTAGAGGGGGGGCGAGCCTTTACAATTATATTGGTCAACGGATAATAGCTATAACAGTGTTTTAGCCCAAATCATTTA